CCCACACACCCTAAAGAAAAACAATGGCACACTCAAGATGTTAGAAGGGCACTACAGTGTTATATACAGAGAACAGCTGCCTTCTGGCTGTTGGATGCCTTGTTTGTTTCCTGTGGGTTGTAATTGCTGGGGATGAAAGTGTCCAAACCTTCTATAGTGTTCTGGGTTAAGAGGTACATATGTGAAGCATATGAGGTTCAAGGTCTTAAGGCTCCACCAGGGATGACAACGCACTCTACAAGGGCCACTGCCACATCCACTGCTTTTTCTACTAGGGCCTCCATTGAGGAGATCTGCCGGGCAGCGACATGGTCCACTTTTGCTACCTTTGTAAAACACTACAGAATTGACCAGCAGGCCTCCATTGAGGCAACTTTTGGGAGGAGGGTCCTCCAACGAGTATTAGATGAGTGACTTTTTTTCTACTAGGGCCTCCATTGAGGAGATCTGCCGGGCAGCGACATGGTCCACTTTTGCTACCTTTGTAAAACACTACAGAATTGACCAGCAGGCCTCCATTGAGGCAACTTTTGGGAGGAGGGTCCTCCAACGAGTATTACATGAGTAACTTGTCTCTTACCCACCCAGTCTGATCTTTGATACATAACCAGTCTGGATGCCTTCCCCCACTGAAGGAGAACGAAACATTGGTCTTACCTGAAGGTTTCTTCTCTTCAGTGGGGCGAAGGCATCCAATAATTTTGCCCACCTCTGAGTATTTAAAGATGTTTTTCGTGGGACCGTTACTCTAATTGCTAAAAATGCACAGTTCTTTGCTGATTTCTCTTAACGGTTAAACTACTTCATGATTTATGATATTGATGGTGGTGTGAAGTTTCACGGACTAGGCTATTTTATGTCTGGAAGGGCGCCCTCGCTCTATCCAAGTAGGCATACACAAAAATTTGCATAGCCCTGCCTGAAGTGAGAGGAGGCGTGACCTAACCAGTCTGGATGAAGAGAAGAAACCTTCAGGTAAGACCAATGTTTCGTTCTTATCTCACTACACATGCTAAGTCACTCAGTTCTCACTTATACCCAGAATTGAACTTTTTTGGTCTTAAAGGTGTCACTGGACTCAAACTTCATTCTCACATCTGTTGTTAACTCTTTTATTATCTGTATGCTATTTGCTGCTATTCACAGACCTTACCAACTGCATCATTTCAATCTTAGCTGTACTTATGGATCTTGACGCTAATTAGCCCTTCCTAGCACTACACTATGTGTAACGCTTGAGGAAATTTGTTTCAATGTATCTGACTATTCACAGACCTTACCAACTGCATCATTTCAATCTTAGCTGTACTTATGGATCTTGACGCTAATTAGCCCTTCCTAGCACTACACTATGTGTAACGCTTGAGGAAATTTGTTTCAATGTATCTGAGGAAGTGTTCATTTACACATGCTAAGTCTCTCAGTTCTCACTTATACCAGAATTGAATTTTATTGGTCTTGGAAATGCGACCGGACCCAAACTTCGTTCTCACATCTGTTTGTTAACTCTTGTATTTGTATGGTAATTTGCTGTCATACACAAGTCCTAACAATTGCTTTAATCCAATCTCAGTTATATTTATCACCCAGTTACTTATGCATCTTGACTCTAACTAGCCCTTCCTGGCAACTAACTCCCTATATGTAAGGCTTGAGGAAAACTGTTTCAATGTATCTGATGAAATGTGCCTGCACACAAGTTTATACCCAGAATTAAACTTTGTTGGTCTTAAATGTGCCACTGGAATCAAACTTTGTTCTATTGCTTCAGAACAACTTGGCTACCCACCTGAATTGTACTAAGGACAGTAACTGAAAATAATGGAACATTTTCATAGAAGTTTTTCTGTACTCTCCATTGTAAATATACCACAGAGTTCTTAAAACATCAAACAAAACAGGATGAAAGCTTCTGTGACCTTGTCCTACTTGAAGTTTAGAACAAGGGACTGTTTGTCACTGCCATATTTATTTCTAAATGGACTGCACTGCTTTCTATTTTTCAGAACTATCGTAAGTTAGCACACTGCATTCTCAAACCAGGAAAAAGAGATACTTATCTTTGGATGTATAACCCTCCTATATTACTGTTGCAGATTCCTACTGCTGTTATAATTTTTGCTCAAGCATGACAGAACTTGCCTGAAAAAGTAACCACTTTATTTAAAAAATGAGGCAACTTTGATTTCCAGAGGGAGATGGTAAATAAACAGAATATTTGACATTGGAAAAAGTGAGCTGTAGAATATAAAATATTCCTTATCATTGCCTTTTACTTCAACTATTCTTTTTAAAATTTCAGCTTAAGGAATGTCTATATCATGGGCAACCTTCTTCCCACGCAATTTGGATCTTCAGGAAATGAGGCGTGCCCTAAGAAAAGGCAGGTAAGTATTTTCCTCAGGAAAAATTCATTGTACTGGAGCCATCTGGACTGCAGCACGGTACCCACATCATCTTGAAGCACCCAGCACATGTGGGCTGTGAACAAAGTGCTGAAGCAGAACATTTGATTACTGGTATTAGAACCAATGTATCACTGCAAAAACCCATAAAGGTTTGTACAGATGACCATTTGTGGAGAATTCCTATTCCACTGTTAATTTTAACAGTATAGTGCAGGGAGTTATTCATCCTCAGATTACAGACTGCTAGCAGTTTCTCAGTAGCACTGGGGGATCCAGCCTCCATCTATTTATTTGACAAAGATGCCTGTGCAAGGCAAGTATTCTTTAGTAATTGCTTTTATAAGAATTAGAGTTTCTGCAATTTGTATGGAGTAAAAGCTGAATCAATGGAATTCAATAAAGTATATCTCCAGATCAAACAATTTTGACACATAAATACAAAACAAAATGAGTGCTAAGTAAATAAACCACAACAATAAACAAATAAGCAAAAAACAAAAACAAAATAGAATTCAACATCCAGTGTCCTTCAAATTTTGTGAGGAAGTTGCACTCCTTTCCCCTTATCTTATGACTTGCTATTCCTATTTCAGGAGGCATCCCAGCCTTGTCAGAGGGCTAGAGTTGTGAAATTTCTGAAAAGTCTGAAGCCATGGGAAGAGGTCCCGCCCCAGAAAAAAGTAGAAAGGGGGGGGGGATTGAAATATATATACTTATCTACTAAACTCAAACATATTTTTGCTGCCTTAATAACATAAAATGCACTATTTACATCTTAGCATCTAACATTGTATTACTTGGTATGTTTATGGAAATAAAAATATAAATGACAATTTTCTACGAGCAACATTGTAAAAGCATGCAATACTAAAGCAATATTACATACTATTGTTTTGTCAGCACGTTCCACTCATTTCAAAAGAAAGAAAATTCACAAGAGTTTTCCAGTGTTCCTCCAAATGTTCTATTTGAAAAACTGGAGGGAAAGTCATTGGATAAAAAAAGTATTTTCACTATATTTTGGTGTTACAATCTGAAGGTTTCCTGCCTACCCAAGAGAAAAACTGTTCATCAGCCTTCTGAACGACAGTGTGGCCAAGTGAGCCAGCCCTTTCCTGCAGCAGCCCAGCCTGCTCTTTAACACCACGTCCTCCATGGTGGAATTCAAGCAAGCTTTGGAGGAGGAGGAAGGTGGTAGCCACTATTAATCTTACAACTAGTATTGTCCCACAAAAGACATTTATTTATTTTTTATTTTTTTAGTTTTAATTGGAACCTAATCCTGGCAACACAGAGGTTCTATGGGTTATAAAAAGGCAGACCAGAGACTTCAGATCTCCTTGTCTCAGATAGGGGTATACTGGGCAAACACACAAAAGACATTTATTTTACATTTATCACTACAATAATTCCAGATGGGTCCCCATGTTAGTCTGCAGCAGCAAAATAAAACTGAAGTGCATCGGCATCTTACAACTAACAAATCATATTCAGGCACAGATTTTCATGAGACAAAACTCACTTTACTGTGAAAGTTTATGCTGGAATAAATTTTGTTAAGTCTTTAAAGGTGCCACTGGATTCCCATTTTTTAAATCACTACATAATGCATGCACTCTTCCTTGAGCTCTCTACCAGTTAAAACAATGAATTAGGTAAAAAAAACCCCACTTTAAAATTGTTGGATCCCCAAGCATCGAGAATAAATCCACGTTTTCAAGAAAATCAAAATTTTATTTCAAAGCGTTGAAGACATACTCAAACACGTTCTTTGTTAGAACTGGGGATACACAGTTAGGTCAGGCATATTAAAGGAACTTCAAACAGATACAGATCCAATGAAAGGTTTTCCCGCTGGCGGGCTAATGAAACGGTTGCGCGCCCAGTCTGTGGGAACCAGGCAAAGCATCAGACAAAACACAGGTGCAGAACCCATGAGAAAATCAATAGGCAAGCATTACAGCATCTTCTCCCCCACACAACCTCCAGCAGTTATCTTTTGCATTCCAAAGCAGGAGCAGGAAGATAGAAACCATGTCGGGTGCAACAGGGAAAGGATATGTACACAGAGGTCACAGAAAACAGAATGGCAGCTTGCTGACAAAAATGCATCATAAAAAGCATCAAGCAATACCAGTACTGCCCATCTATAAAAGCTTGGCATGCTGTCCACCACCTCTGGAACATGCCTGTAAACACAAAATGCCCCAGGTCCTACAGGTAATTATGACACTACATATGGGTTGTGAATATTTTACAAAGAAATATAGAATTTATTTCTGAATTTACCATACACACAAAATTAAGCACCGTTTTCACTTTTCACTTTAATGACAATTAGTTATAATTCATAATGACGTGGAGGGGTCTTTTTTAATATACCACATCAGACAAGCTATCATCACTGAAAGCTAAAAAGCCATGATGCATCCTGAAAACAAGGGAGTTGTCCAGTACTTAGCCATCATCTAATATCTTCCCATAAACTAGAGGTATCTGGTTAGTGTTTTATCCCAGAAAAAATGTAGCATGTGAACATATTATTCTATAACATAAAAGTTTGAACCCTAGCATATCAGTCATTTAGCTCACCTCTTTATCCATACTTTCTAAATCCTCTTTACATAGAGTATACAGTGGCATTGTCTCAGACATACTTGGCTGGCGTTTCCGTTTAGATGGACCAGCTTCTTCATTCTCACTCACTGGCATCTCCTCTTCATCAAAAAGCTGCTGCTCATGTGGCTGAACAACTCTGAAAGATTTAAAAAAAACCAACAACCCGTATTACAAAACTTTGATTCAAATCAAACAGATATTATCAGATTCAAGATGTAATACAGAACCATTTCAAAACTTAAATGATGGGGAACAGGGACTACTTCTATTGACCATGCTGCTCAGCTGGTATTGTCTTCTCTCTCACACAAAGACCCTTCAAAAAGAACTCTCAATGGAATGTCACTGCATTGTTAATTAGATATGCATGCTGAATAACTGACCCACAACTCTTCCTCTAATGCAAGTTGGTCCACCAAGGACAGATCAAGCAAAGCTTATGAATCTGTGACACAAATTTTAAAGTAGACACAGCTTTAAAAACTAGGGGGTTCAAAACATGCAACAACGATTTCCATAGAATATTCTAAAGTTTTTGTTTTATGTGTTCTTTTCCCTTATATCTGTGATTTTTTTAGGCCCCCTGAGGGGATTTTTTATTATTTTTTAAATAATACTACAAAACTATAACAGAAATAAGGAAGGGGGAACTACATATACAGGATAAAGAAAAGAACCCACTACTATCTAAAAACCCAAGAGAGATCTTCATTTCCGCTGTCTTCTTCAAGTCTTCACTTTGTTTAAGTCTTTCCAAACCGAGTCTAACCTTAATACATCTCTTTTTCTATTAATCTTAATTTTTAACTGTCATAACCAAGTACCCCCTAATCATCCCACTATATATTCCTTAAAGGCACAATTCAGAGTCCTTCCGCCTTTACTTCCCTCTTCCTTGTCTCTTTCTCAGCTTATAAGAGCTTTTTGGGGCTGCTGCCCCTTGCTCAGAAAGAGAGTCCTCTCCGGAAGAGCCTGACTCCAGCTTGCCACTGGACTTGCTTTCCTCTTCTTTTCTTTCTTCCTCAGGCCTTCCCAGCTGGACCCTTAAAAACTCACAGGCTTTCAGAACAGAGTCAATCTTTTCTTTTTTGTCCTTAATTTTGAAGGTAACCCCTTCCGGAATTAACCATTTGTATCCAATTGAATTTGTCTGAAGAAAAAGCACCAGCTCCTTGTACATCTTTCTCCGTTGTCTTACTTCAAATGGAATGTCTTTTAGAACTCTGATGGTATTCTCTTCCACTTTCAGTGGTGTTCCAGCAACTGCTTTCAGGATTGCATCCCTTACATGTCTCTTCAAGAATCTCACCACAATTTCCCCAGGCAGATTATTTTTCTTTATATATCCTGAATATGATCTGTAGATCACGTCCATATCGCTTATCAATTATTCTGCCATCATCTCTGTCACTGGGGCCAGCACTTCACTCATCACCTCTTTAAGATTCTCTCCCTTATTCTCCGGAATGCCCTGGAAGCAAAGGATCATGTTAGCTTTTTCCATTTGTAGTTGCAGTAATTGATCTTCTGTAGATACTTGCTTCCTTTCCAGTCTTTGTACTTTTTTCTTCACCTTTTGAGTGGTTGCCTCCACTTCCTCAGCATTTTGTTTCAGTACTTGCAGTATCTCATTAATCTGAGTTTGCTGAGAAGAAAGGCATGCTGTCACTTTTGACATCTCTTCCTTAAAGTTATTCAGCTGCTCCAGCAAGGGGCGCATGGATTCTGTCATGATCTCTGCCAACTCGCTGGTTACTTCCAGTCTAGGACTTGCCAATCCTTTCAGTTTTGGAGGCTTGTCTTTGTCTCTCTTCCCCGCCATCTTTTTCAGCTTGTTTACTTTCAACAAGTTTTTACAAGTCTCTGACTATGTGCTCAAACGCTTAGTTTCGCTTTGGTAAGTACTTCTATGCAGTTATCCCCGCGTTTTCTTCCGCTCCCCCCCTCGATCGCTCAGCAACCCATGCATATGGGAGGCATCCCTCCCCCGCTCGCCTTTCTTCCCGTTCTCTAGGGTGGGGAGCTACGTTTTCGTTTAAAAATCGCTTCATAGTCGACTCATGTTCATAGTTGGTCTTCCGAACCCACTTTCTGTATCATTTTAAACGCTGGATCTCCTGCGCTTGATCCGGTCGGCGTCACTTAGATCCATTCGGACCCTACAGCACGGGGGACCATCGGAACCAAGCGGCGCTTCAATTCTCTGGCATTCCGCCATCGAAGAGGTCACCTCTTGCAAGTCCCTTCCCCGGGCCCCGGGGGGGGGGTTTAACGAGCCTGCTCAACCCCTCCCCCGGCTTGGGCACAGCTTCACCCCCGGGAGGTCCGGGAGGTGAGTCTGTTAACGTTCTGCCATAAACTGGAAGTCCCTTCATTTCCCTTATATCTGTGATTAATAGGATTCCCATGTTCCTGGTACTAGCAGGCAAACTGCCACCATTACTCCCCACCACCCACCATCAAAAATTGGCCGCCCGGAGAGGAAAAAAATGGTGAAGCTCTGTCATTTCTCCTCCAGTGTCTCTATGGTAAGACCACAGAGACTATGGAGACCCATCACCCACCTCAAAAACACTGCACATGTACATGCGTGCACATGTACGTGTGTGTGGTCCGTCCACTTCTTTCCCCATCCTGTCTTACCACCAGACAGCTTGCCTGGCCCAGCTGCTGCTACCACCACCCTTCCTTATAGCTTCTCCAGGTAGTGCCGCCCTGCTAGGCTCCTGGACCCAAGCGGGCCAGCAGTTCCCAGCAGCTGCAAGGCATTTGCTCGCTTATGCTGTGGTTGCCTTGCTTGGGCAGAGTATATGGTCACAGCACAATTCTCCTGCACCTTCACTGGCTGCTAGGAGGGTGGGTGAGGGGTGCAAGTGAGGAAGAAGAGTTGGTCTCCTATATCTCCCCCCCGAACAGGCACCCCTCCCCGAACAGGCACCCCTGTTGCTTGTTCCTTTCACTTCCCTCATATGAGATATAGCTGGGGTTGTTGTTGCCTATCATGTGTGCCTGAGAGTCTTATTGCTCCCTCCCTGCCTGAATGGAAGCTGTTTATCTAGGCACCATTTTCCTGAAGGCAAGTTGGCTCAATTTTTCCAAACAGAGGGAGGGTGACTTTTTCACATTGTGTGTGTGTGGGGGGGAGCAGTTTCACTCCATCATTACTCTGCCCTTTTCTGTCTCCATCCCAGCCTGACAATTGCCATGAGGTGAGTTTGTTTCTTTTTCACTCTCTAAGGGGAAGAAATTCCCAGCACAAAAGGACTGCCTTCTGTTTCTTCTCATTCGTCCTCTTTAGCAAAGGAAGGGAGCTCTTCTGACTCCCCCTCTAAGTACATTTTTAAAGGTAGATGCTTTCTTTGTGGGCTTAAAATTGGCCTCCAACTCGATCATGGCATGGGTCATTTCCATGCCAACAGGAGTGGGCCATGTCTCAGTTTACAGGAAATATAGAGTGGAAGGGGTAATATTAGAAGAATATGAAAATCTGGTAAGAATAGTGGTTTACTCTGGTTTCTTCATGTGTGTGAAGATGGCTACCTCAAGTCTACACATATTACCTTATTTTGGAGATGTAACTTTGTTTCCAATGAGGATTTCAATATAGTTTTATAACTTAAGGTCCAAACTTCTGTTTTCAGAGCATCAGTCACACCAGGCCCCCAGTCTTACCACTGTTTTGTGGCTTCAGAATTTATTTAGTTTTTATACTGCCTTTCTCCTCAGTGGGGCCCCAAAGAGGCTTACATTGTTCTCCTCTCTTCCGTTTTATCTTCACAATAGTCCTGTGAAGTGGGTTAGGCTGAAAGTGGTGGGACTGGCACCGCGAGGATTCAAACCCGGGTTTCCCAGATCCTAGTTTGACGCTTTAACCACTATACCAAGCTGGCTCTCATGTGAATCTCTTTTCTCCTAAGCAAACTAGATTGTTCCTTTCAAAACATTTCTTAGTATTTGGATAATGATGAGAACACGCAGCACAGAAATGATTTCTCATTGTATGCCCACTGAACTTTGGCTCTTTGGCACATTTTAACAATTCACTGGAGGGAATTACCGTTGGCAGTATGTTGATCAGAAAAGGTATTCCTAGAGTTAGGTTTCTTTGAGATCAAATGATGATAAAGATACATGAGAAATCGCAAGCTTTTTGCTGCTATTTAAGTGCATATTGATGTCTGTGTAAATATATGAGTTCAGGAGAATATATGACAGTCAGCCCTATGTATAGGTAAAGGTAAAGGTTCCCTTGCTCGAAAGCCAGTCGAATCCGACTCTAGGGTTGCGGTGCTCATCTCCGTTTCAAAGCCGAAGAGCCAGCGCTGTCCGAAGACATTTCCGTGGTCATGTGGCTGGCATGACAAAGCACCAAGGAACGCTGTTACCTTCTCACCGAAGTGGTACCTATTTATCTACTTGCAATTTCTTGCTTTCGAACTGCTAGGTTGGCAGGAGCTGGAACTAGAGACGGGAGCTCACTCCGTCATGCGGCACACCCAGGTCTCGAACTGCTGAACTACCAACCTTCCACAGCCTGCAGTTCAGCGTCTTAACCACTTGAGCCACCGCAGCTCCTTAGCCCTATGTATAACAGATCGTAAAATGGAATTATATTGTAAAAAAATAAGAATGTGAAATGTGCAAAGCTATAGCTTCTCCTGCTATATATCTTCAGTTGCTGGATGAAAGAAAAGATCCTAAACACTCACTTCTTTAAAAAAAATCAAAGGTTATATTTTTGCCTAAGCTAACAAAAGGAATATACAAAATAATGTCAAGCATAATATAATCAGATTATGGTTTCAAACATTCATAAACTGGTTACAGAAGCACAACATAATTTTAAACATGATTTTTCATTCACCTAACCTTGTGTGCCAAAAATCTGAAGTTAAAGTAACCTTGAATCTCTTTGAGAAGGCAAGAAAACAGGGTTGTGCTTACCTGTAACTGTTGTTCATGGAGGATCTTCTGTACAGGCACAAATGGGGACTGCGTATGAGCAGGCCTGTCACAGAGAGAGTTTAACAGCTAAAAGCTTCCAGGGGGCAGTGTGTGCTGGGACACTCGTTCCCACCCAAACGGTCATGTGCTCCAGAGCTCCAGAGCCCCCACCCTCAGTACCTCTAGTGCAGC